TATATATGTAATATATTTATGTGTGTGTGTGTGTGTGTTTGTGTAAAAATTGTAAGTTTATATCTGAAAATGTACACCATGGTAAGAATAACCTTTCTGACATTATTTCGAAAAATAAAATTGCATAGTGCTTCTTAAGTTTCACACTTAACATAATTACAGCCCCTGATGTTCAAGAGTTCTCCAACTGATAAGTGAGTGGTTTAAATCTATAAAAAGTACATGCATCAAACCACCAAGAATAACTCTGTTGCCGTGGTAATCGGATGAGAGATGGCAAGGTTTTTTTAAAAGCATAATATTGGGCTTTTAAGGTGTGACATCATCTCGTGTTGCTATGCTGGTCTAGGCAATGTACTGTTTTTTTCCCACTCCTGACGAAATCCGTTCCTGTGCTACAAACATGTACATTGAAGTTTCAAAGCACAGAAGCATTTATGGTTTAAAGGAAGAAAGAATTCTATATTTGCATTATCTATGACAACAAGACCGCTGTTTTGCTTTAACAAGCTCTGCACATGCCTCATGCTGAGTGCATGTGCTTTATTTTGATGTGCCATTTATGGAAATCAGTGGTAGTTAAATCAAGCTCCGTCATTACTATTGCCCATACTTACAGTTTAAACAAACCCATACGCCTAAGTATTAAACTTCAGTGCAGAACTTGTGCTACAGACATGAATGATACCTCAAATCATGCAGCTTACTGAGGAGACATGTGCAATTGCTTTAGAAAGCAATCACTTGTTATTTTCACATAATGCATGATAAAATGGATTTAAAAAAAATAAATCTATAAATTCCTCAGAATATCATAGGGACTTGTGGGTGGGCTCTTTTGACTTGGATCTGTAGGCAACCACTCAAAACACCCTGTCACCCTGTGCTAGAAACCACTAAAGCTACCCAGAATACCATAGCAACGTAGCACAAGCTCACATTTTCTTCAAAATATGTAAATTGTGTTATGTACCATTATAGATTCAGTTTAGATCATGTTTACACATATTCCTGTGTGACTCTCGCACTCAGCTTGTGATGCATTTTGTAGTTGCCTGTGATTGAAAAGCTTCCAGCACGTAGAATGACTTCAACCCAGTATCTGGTCTCTCTGCTGAACACAGCCCCACACTTATCTGGAGCAGACGTTTCCTTCAGACATTGATTAATGTGACTCATGCTCATTCGCTCAGCTAAATAACCTGTTTTCTCCACCTGTCTGGGCTTTATTGTACACGTCACTCTTCATCAGTCACATTGTTCTGTCTTTATTCTGGTTGCGTAGCGATAGTTGTCTTTATTAATTTGCTTGCGGACCTCTTTGTGTCATTGTACATGATATAGGCCACTTTGCTTTAGGATAGCAAGATTATATGGAATCAGGAATAAACTGCTGAAATCACTTCTCTCCCCCAGGTCTTTTTCAATTATTAAATAACTGCTGTAATTTTAGAAAGTGTAAATGTTCCGCAAGGTATTTTCACTCAGCAAAAAGTGACTCAATCACATCTAAGTTCAATCACTCACAAGAAATTGAGAAATTTTTTTGTTTATTTTTTTGTTATTTTATTTAAATTTATTTCAAATAGAAATCTTTTGTAACAATACACACTACCATTCAAAGGTTTGCGGTCAGTAATAACTTCATGGGATAGTTCTTTTCCTCATTAAAGTTGTTGAGTACAGTCTTGCACATTTTGCATCAAATCGAAGTTTGTATATGATTAACCTTGTAGCTGGCTGGTTTGGTTCCTGACTTAAAACTCTTAAATGAAGGGTTTTTTTGTTTTGTTTTGTTTTTTTTTATCCATGTGGGAAAATGAATGGGAAACATACTTCCGAAACGGTTGGCGCTGTTGTACTTTACTATTATTATTTATTTATTTTTGTATTTTTTATTTTTTTAAGCGAATAGCCTTTAGTTTACCTTACAGTCATAAGCTGTTTTGCTGTTTGCTAGTGCTATATAGGCAAATGGTTTTGGGGTGATTGACATTCTCTTCTCACTCTAGAGATCATTTCGTTGGGCAAAAACTTGTATAGACCAACTACGGTTGCATTTTACATAAAGAGCAACTCCTGCACTTTTATTTTTTGTGATTAATCAGTCTCTCTGTAAATTGTGAATTAAAAAAGAAACTGGAGCACTTTTACTGAGAGATTCGTGCACTTGATTTAATCATGATTCTCCGCGCAGAACCGTGCCTGTGAAGTGAGACGTAAATTAATTACCGCTGGTGCTCCAATCTCTCTGCAACAGCTGCTGCTCTCCTGACTAGAACTTGTTACGCCAATCTACTCTCCTCAATATGGCACTGTCTGTCCCCTGATGCTCTTTACACAGTCTAATTAAATCTCCCAGTTATTAAAATTAGCTGTGAAAAGAGCAGTTTTTGGTCTTCTAAATATAAGAACACACTGTTACTGCAGTTTTATTGAAGATCTGTCACTGGCCAGGTTCTGCATTAAAGGTATAAGCTGGGTTATTTACAACCGCCTTCTATTGTAAGTGCATTACCGTAAATATGTTTCCCATTTGATGTTATGAACTGCAGGTACAGAGTCTTGCTGTATAGACATTGATTTACAACTCAGAACAATTGAAAAATTGAATGGTTGGCTCAATGACTCATTGGTAAAACCCAAGAGGGCTGGTTTTCTATTAGCCTTTAATGTAAGTTTTAGGTAAAAGTATTATCTAAATGAAAAACTAGACGTTTAAGCAGTTTTGTGGAGGCTTGGATCCCTCCTTCAATGCCTTCAAAGTCATTTTTCTCCAGATGAAAACCATAAGCCTAATTTCTAAGAAAAGTAATAATACACCTCCCCTCAATAAGCCGCATGATTTGAGGTATGATTTATGTCCATAGCACAAACTGTGTGGGACGAGTTACATGATTAAATGTTCTGGTTAGGGCCTTGTTCAAATCCCTAATCCTAAAGGAATTGGATTCCTGTAAAAGCATTGACTAAATTAAAACTTAGTTATTTATGATTTTTTTTTTCTTTCTTTCTAGGTAATGTTTACCGAGGAAGATGTGAAGTTCTATTTGGCTGAGCTGGCCTTGGCTTTGGATCATCTTCATAGTCTGGGCATCATCTACCGTGATCTTAAACCAGAGAAGTAAGACCAAACCCCGTGTATTATCAGTAAATAGCAATCATGTGTTCTAATTTACACTGTAGCCTACTTAAGTGGCCTAGATAGTGACCTTGCGTTGATAACCTCAGCACGACCTCGATTGGACATAATGTTCAGGAGAGCTTAACCCTCTGGGGTCCGAGGGTGTTTTGGGGCCTGGAAAAGTTTTGACATGCCCTGACATTTGTGCTTTTTTCAGTTGCTTACAAACATTTGAATGTCTAAAGTTTAATAACACTGTAATCAGCACAAACTGGGCTACAATAATATGTGAGCAGCATGTATTTACGTGATTGTGTTTTTGAGAAAACAACGTTTATGCGTGCTTAGTGAAAAACTACAATTTTAAAGTCACTGAAATAAGGCCATAAACACATACAGAACATTTGATCACAAGACTTTTGAGAACTGGATCTTGAAGTCTAGAGTTTTTGCTTCAAAATTATGTGAAAATCATCTTACTCACTCATTCACAGAAAACAATATATTGATTTAAATTTTCTAAGACACTTTTTGTGTAGAAAAGGTATATGCGAGGAGGTGTGAATGATCATGCATAATGCTGTGATTCACACCTGAGAAGACAAAGGCCTGCATAATGAGCTGTCAGGTGTGTGACTGGTACACAAATAAAAGTAGACCCTTTACAGATTAAAATGCTGTATTACTCCTATATGTACGATCAAGTATGAAGGAGCATTTTAGTTCTTTTCGCTGTCAACATTCAAATCTGCAAAAATTTCCGCCGCCGGAACTGTCGACCCCAGGAGGTTAAATCCTGCATTTTCAAGCAGCAGTATAATCCACATCTGGATTAGAGTCAAAAGAACTCTGTGAAACTCTCATGTAATTAAAGTCATAATTCAGAGGTTCAAACTGGGTGATGCAAGCGCCCAGAGAGCTTCCTGTGCTGCTCCTGTTTCTTTGGGGCAGTTACAGCAGCATCTGTTTTGTGTCCTTCTGCTGGATTCAGAGTGCTTGTCAAAATGTAATTACAGTCATAATTCAGAGGTTCAAACTGGGTGATGCAACCACCCAGAGAGCGTCCTGTGCTGCTCCTGTTTCTTTTTCGTGCAGTTGCAGCAGCATCTGTGTTGTGTCCTGCTGGATTCAGAGTGCTTGTCAAAGCTTTTTACCTTACATTAGACTGAAATGTGTACAGGGCTCAGCAATAAGGATGACCTGATGGTCCGGGATCGGTGTGTGAGAGTTTTATCCATGTTGAGGCTTATTGATCAAGTACAAGCGTTTTCATTCTTTAAAGGGGTCATAGGATGCTACATGCACTTTTACAAGTTGTTTGAACTGAAATGTGTGTTGGCAGTGTACAGGGTAAAAAATGTGTTTTTTACACTACCATTGAGAAATTTGAACCAAACTATGTTACAGACTTTTCATCAAGACCCTAAAGAATCATATCAACTTGTGGAAAATGGGCATCCTATGACCCCTTTAAACATTTTATTTTGGGGTATGTATTGAATATTGTTCTGATTTCTGCTAATTTAAGCATTTCACATTTAACATTATGTAGCTGGCTAATCTAGATGCGTTTTGCGAGAATGACTAGATAATATTGGAAATCAGTAATGTTTATGTCATTGTTTTCCTTCTTGGAGTAACATGATGGGCAGTTTCCAGCCATTATTTCAAATTATATGTAGCGAATTGTTTGTTTGTTTGATTGTTTTTGTGAAGAAAAAAGATACATGAAAGTTCTAAAAGTTCAAAAAAAAAAAATCACCATAAAATCTCTTAGGATAACTTAGGATACTTGGCTTACAACCCAAAAGGTAAGATCTTTAAATGCATTTATTGGGTTGTTTTAAATATTACAGCATTATAAAACTAGCAACATCCAGTACTGATTAAAAAAGACAAAAAAAATTGGGCTCAGTAAGTAAGGTTTTTATTTTATTTTATTTTGCTGTTCTTAAGATTTTTCTATTCATCAAAGAATCCTGAAAAAAATGGTTTCCACTAAAATGTTAAGCAGCACGACTGTTTTCAACATTGATAATAGCAGGAAATCAGCATATTAAAATGATTTATGAAGGATCATGTGACACTGAGGATTGGAGTAATGGCTGGAAAATTCAGATTTGTTATCACAGGAATAAATTACATTGTACAATGTATCAATCAGCACTTTTGATCAAATAAATGCAGCCATGGTGAGCAGAAGAGACTTCTTTTAAATCCGTGAAAACGTCTTACTGACCCCAAACTATTGAACGGTAGTGTATAATGTATACAGTATTAGTACTACGGTATTGTACTAGCACACCTGTAGGCCTGAGAATTTCGTGTTCCAAAAAAAAAATAAAAAATACATTGGTTTATCAACAGACTAGGCGCGTTTCCATTACAGATTTGCACAAAACTTTGGCGATATTTTATAAATGTCGATAAAAAAGTATTGCGAAATGACGGCGTTTCCATTAACCAATGTTATGCGACTAAAACGTAACCTTTTGCCTCTCGCGATAAGTCATGGCAACTGTTTTTGGTGGGATTTTGACAGATTTTGGCTATATTTATTAAAAGGAGGCGTATCCGTGTATCTTTACAGAAGCAGCACAGAGAGCCGCTTCAGAAACGTGCGTGGCGCGGCTGGATTCTGGAATAAACACAAGCATTGTGGCCGCAATCAGCTTCAGTGGCCGTATCAGAGCCACACTGCACCGCAGACGTGTGCAGTGTAAATTGTCTAAGCATTAATGGTAGGAAAGACCCTTATACTGGAGAGTGGCCACGTTTGATGTGTTTCTTGGAGGTTACAGTACATTGAAGAATGATCATATGACTTTTTACATACGCCATGTGACCTGTAAATGCGAAAAAGCCGTTTCCATTGCAGTTTTGCAAATTATTCCTTTTTCGCATTGCCTGAAAAGCCACCTCATGCGAGCGTAAAAACTTTTTTGCGATATATGGGCGTTTTTGCGAAATTGACGCGTTTCCATTAGGCGTATTTTCAATTTGCAATTTCAGTTTGCGCAATTTGAAGGGTAATGGAAACGCGCCTACTGACAGTGCTTAGGAGACCTCTTAGCGAAAAGGATAAATTTATCATTAAGCTTTTCCATTGTTGAATTTATTGTAGTAAATGAGGCAACCACATGAGTAGTACAATCAATCTCATTCATAAGAACCATTCCTGACCTAGACCAGCAGAAAAATATCCTTATTGTTGAGCCGTGATGAACGACTACTAGCCCCTTAATATAATCCTTCTTGTGCTCCCACTCACAGTAATGCTCTTTCATGGCTTGTCTCTCTCGTATCTACTCAAACAATGGGCCCAAACCAAACTCACCTGCACTCTGAATTGGCTCTTGTGGGAGATTCATTGCTGGAAATAATGAAAGGGACACTGCGTACAGTAGAAGAGCTATTCCTTCTGAGAAGGTGAAAATGGAGGTGGCCTGAGAGCAGCTCTCGCTGGAGGGCTCTACAGTATTTCTCTTAAGGGCATGCTGTTCTGAGACCTGTCATAGGTGATTAATGGCATATTGGCAGAGGCAATCCAAAGGACACTGCACCAGTACATTCATTAAGAAAATATATCCTCAATCCTGTCACCCCTACACACTTACTCTGAACTCTGATATCCTTGACTGTGATGTTTAACTATATGTAATTTAATTTGTTATTATTTTCTTTACATATAATACTACTGTTCTTTTTTACTGTATTAATTTATTTTTAATGATTGTAACTGATTAATGTCTTCCAAGGCAATCTGTTCTAGGTTGGTTGGAGATAGATTGATATTGGGGGAAAAAAAGCATTGTCTCTGTACAAATAATGATATTCGTTTTTGTTTTTAAATAAAAATAAGTATCAAAAAAAAAAGAGAGAAAGTGTAACAGTAGGGATGATCAAAATCCTGTTTCACAGTAACAGTAAAAATTGATTATATTTTTATAATCAGTTTTAATGTCTTTTTATGGATAATTTTGTGAATTAAATACCTAATTAAATATTACAAAATATCTGTAACTTAAAGAATGCATACAAAATAAAAATGATTCATAATTCTATATTAGAATTATTTCTTTATCTTAATGAATATAAATCAATATTATAAATCTTTATTACTGTGTTAATATGGAAAGTTTTGATGTTGTTCTGCAACTAAACTCTACTTTTTAAAATGTTATTTATATAGAGAGAGGTTTGTACTTTTGCAAAGAACGAATATATGTCATCTCTATCTCATTTTAATTCTGTAGCAGTAATATAGTAATACAGTAATATAGAAATGAAATGTAATCCACTGTTGCTTCACCTTCCCAGCATTCTCCTTGATGAAGAGGGTCACATAAAGATCACAGGTGAGCAGAAGTTTTAAAATTTGCTTTCGCCACACGGTCCAACTCTTTATATGTGTCATCGACCGCATGTTGATGGTTTAATATCTTCTCTGCGCTCTCAGATTTTGGCCTGAGCAAAGAGGCAATCGACCATGACAAGCGAGCGTACTCCTTCTGCGGGACCATCGAGTACATGGCCCCAGAGGTGGTCAATAGACGAGGTCACACTCAAAGTGCTGACTGGTGGTCCTTCGGCATCTTAATGGTAAGTGTCCTTGCAGATTGTGAAGGATCATAGTGGGCACTGTCAGCGCTGCAGTGTTTTAGTGTTATGAGCGTGTGTAGCACTAGCCTGGGGCTGAAGGATAATGTGGCCGCAGCTCTGTGGGGGTCCCACAGCCCATTTTGGTGCAAAATTATTAAGCACATTACATTAGTTAGACTATGTTTTAATGTTATTTTAATGCATTAACTAGCCTTGCTATGCTGCATTCCATTCAACTTATAAAGTCAGAATTTAACTTTGTGAACTGCATTTTTTTTCCACTTGAAGGCAGAAATGTAAATGTATAAAGATGTATAATATGGCCGGGCGATATAGATTTATAAAAAAAATTATATCTTGATGTTTTTCCAAAGATTTAAAAGGGGGTTTTCAGCCACAAAACAAAAGATAAGATCTGGGATATATATATATATATATATATATATATGGCAAAAACCACAGAAATATATTTCTTTTTACATTTTAATGACATCAAACTCCCTCCAACGGACGGCACATTCACCACATCAGACCAGAGAATCTTGTTTCTCACAGTCTGAGGGTTCTTTAGGTGCTTTTTTGCAAATTCCAAGTTTTTTTATTTTTAACAAATTTGCAAAGATGTTAAAAACCTGTTTTTTTTTTCTTTGCCATTATGGTGTATGGAGTGTAGATTGATGTGGGAAAAAAAGTAATTTAAAGCAGCTTAACATAAGGCAGCAACATAAAACGTGAAAAAAAGAAGCAGCACAGAATCGCATGAAGAGTAAATGATCACAATACACATTTCATAGAACAAGGTCTGTTAGATAGCAAAACTTATTGCACTTATCTATTTTGACACACAGTATCATGTTTTTTTTTTACTGTCAAACACTGCATTTTCAGATTCAATCCCACATTTAAACACAGTTCGTGAAACTTTGCAATGTGTTGCTAGTAACATGAAAAGCTCAAACATTAACATTTGAAAAGTTCAAAGTTTCCATTCCAGAAATATCAGGGCTCACAAAATCGCTAGCCCTGACGCCCCGGGGCTATTGTGTCTTCCAGTCGGGCAACCAAAATATCACCGCCTTGCCCGACGGGCTATCTTGAATAAAGATATAAAATATTTTCTTTGATTCATGTTGTTCACTCACTTGCAGTGCTGAAACGTATCATAGGTGATCATTTGCACTTGTTTCTAAGTCTTGCCAATTTAAGCATTCCAGCATTTTAAACCATTTAAGCACATGAAGAGACTAAAGAGAATTCAATTTGGCACTCATGCTCTGTTTTCTGTGTGCATGCTCTCAAAGCGTGCACACAGAGAGCCACATTTCAGACAGCGTTCGAACACAGAATTGATTCATCTTTCACGTATCCTTGAGCCTGAACGGACACAAACGGATCTCAAAATACCTGTCTCTGCAATTATTCTCGTAAACAGAGTCAGTTATGTCTTAAGTGAATGTAAACAGTGGAGAAAGAAATCGCATGCGTATCATTATATTGAATCTGTGCATCTTAAAGGGACAGCAGCCTATAAATACCTGCGGCTATCATGTTAATCAAACAAAACACAACTTTAATGAAGACTAATCTAGATTTAATTTATACATTGAACACTATGCAGTGTTCAAGTTATTACATTTCTGTACCTGAAAACCATTTTTTGCTTCTTATTTGAAGAAAAAAATACAATCAAATAAGTTTTTGAACATGCTGATTTGTCCGCAGTGAAGTTCAGCTGAAGTATTTTTGTTCGGGCTAGTTGAATTCATTTTGGGCTACCAAAATCTGAAGAATGCCTGTCCGAAGGGCTACCAGGGATTTTGAAATTTTGCGAGCCCTGACTTTGGTCACCTTTGTTAAATATGAATATTCATTATCTGTCCTTGAGTGAAATCAGTTGTTAACCTTTAACTAAACAAACAAAGCACTGATAATTTCATAAACACTTAGCAATAGGTCTATAAATGATCTTTATTGGACACTTCCTCACAAGATATGCATCAGTGGATCTCTTCTTGCTGCTGCACTGGGCCACAGATTCTTCTATTAATTCTAAAAAGATCTGCTTAGGCAAAAACACCTTTTATTAATGCCTTGAGCTGCTGTCGGTAATTGCTTCTAGATGAGGGTACGTCCTTTGAGAATTTCCATTTCCTCAGAAGCAATTGACTCATAGCCAATGTTGGAGCAAATCATTTTTGAAGAGGTGCACACTTATAAGTGTCAAGAGCTCAGGTGGATACGACACCTGACTTTAAAGAGCTTGTGACTAATGCTGAACAGTTAAAAGGAAGAAGCTTCTAGTTAAAAAAGTTTAAGGTGAAGTAATTTATGCTTGACTAGCTGCACCCAACAAATCTACCAACGGGGGCTTATTGGACTACGTTAAGCAGCCAAACCTTGACCCATTGGGTGGACAAAACACAGCAAAATAACTGAGTTTGGATTGGGACAACCTGAGGGGGTGGCATTTTGTGGTACAGAAATGAACCAAATTAACACTTTAACAGTTTGACAGTGAATGCAGGACATACTGACTATTGATAGGAACTTTTATTATTGGATTCAAAGTTCTAGATCATTTTAAACTACATCATCACCCAGCTCTAATCTGCTAAACGCCAATATAAGGCATAAAGTTGTCAAGATATAAAAATTAACATCATGTTTTTTTCTTAAAATACTTTATAATGTGTATTGTTTAAAAAACACTATTGTTTAATCAAAATAAATTTGATCTGACTTGTTGTTTGGTGGAATTGCTGTGAAAACTCACTTTAAAACTCCAGCCCGTTTAACTAGCTCACTTCTAAATATCCACAGCAGAACCCAGCCTTAAACGAATTCACTTACAGGGAAAAGTGTTACATAAGAGTGAGCACGCTGAGACAGATTTGGTTTCAGTATGCTCTGTTACTGTGCGGCAGTGCTGAATACACACTTCTCTTATTGTATCATCCATAAATAAACTTGCTAAAGCAAAGCCTGATGCTTCTATTACTGTTCCTAGTTTGAAATGCTGACTGGATCCCTGCCATTTCAAGGCAAAGACCGCAAAGAGACAATGGCACTTATTCTCAAGTAAGAATTATTGTTGTATTTGTACATTTTCTGACAGCCTAGTGTTTGTGTGTGTGTGTGTGTGTGTGTGTGTGTGT